CACATGACTAGAAATTGTCTCCTAATTGATTTACTGAAATTTTTCACATTCATTTCCTCATGCACTATGATATTCTTATTTCATTACTTTTTATCATAACAGTTGTTACTTTGAGCAGTAGAATGGTCTTCTTAATGATGTTTGACCCGGTTGAGCCCTCGTATGAGGTATGCATTAGGTGTTGCCGACGCGTTCCCCCCAACGTCGTGTTCAGCATCAGGTCAGCCTTTATGCAGCATTTTCAAGTCTATATTGTTCTACGTCAGCGATTAACTAACGGTTGCTATAACATTACACGCATAGTCCTCTAAGAAAGTTGTCATGGCTAACATGACCTTTCTCACGGGCATGTATATTGTACATGGTTTGTGAGGTCATCATGTGCTGCTTGCCTAAGCAGAACGTATCTAGCTTGTGAGGTCAGTCGTTTCAATACTTTGGCTATAAGGCATTGTATACTGTAGGAATAGTTCCGCTGAAAACGTATCTGCTTATGTACTCCTTTCACTTGAGAAACTTGGGAGCCGCACTGAAGTACTCATACAGAAACAAATAGTCTAACAGAGCAAATCTCCTTTAAATAATTTGTTTCTACTCAAAATATTTGTGCCAAAACGAGGTCATGGTCATTTAACCATCGCATTGTATAAATTGGACTTGTTCACCTCCGTGCAAATGTCTCATAGGTGGAGTGGTGCTATGTTCGCTTTGCTTATTGCGTCAGGTGTCATATTTTTCTGTATGTTTGTTTCTCTTCTTGACCACTGAACGCGTGAGATTGTTAACTGTGCTAATGAGCTCGGTTCAGGTCAAATATTTTGGAACTTGAACAGCCGTTTGCTGTGTTTTTCCCGTTTTGCTGACAAGAAAGCGCGGTGATGGAGTTGCGACAGATAATGTGCATCTTTGCAGCAAGCGTTCTATCGAAAGATCAGCAAAGGAATGGAAACTTACAGCCGGCTGCTGCATTACCGTCACAGTGCCATCGATGGCATTTTCATTCCTTAGAGTTTCTTTCACAGTTTCGCTATCCTCAGCGAGCAGTGTATTAGCTTCAAGTCAATACATGCTGCGATGTTTTAGCAGCATAGCGGAATC